GCTTCTGTTTGAAACCCTTTATTTTCTCAAAATTCAGTTATTTTTTAATATACAAACCAGATCGATATAACATACACTGAATTTTAAAATGAAGTAACAACAGAAAAAAACAGGCACAAACCTTGCAATTGGAATGAGCTAAAAGGCTCTGACAACTTTCTCCACCCCATGTGACTCCTATTTCCACCCAGCCTATGAACCACAGTTACAAAACCTGCACAAATTGGTTAAATAAACTCAGGGAGCTTGAGATATTTATTCTAGGAAAGTATGAAAGGTGGTCAGAATTCTCTGCTCAAAAGGGACAGGACTCAAAAGGTGAGGCTTTGTAAGAAGCATTTGGAAATAAAAGACTTAATGATAAAAATTAAATTTTGGTTTCTTCTTGATAGTATTTTTCAGAAACTTCCCCCAAACCCCAAACCAGCAGAAGTACTTAACCTTACAAAGCACTTGGGGATTTCTTTCAGGGGAGGGTGGTGGTGTCCTCTGGTGAGAGCAGCCCAACGCTGGATCAGAGAGCAGATGCTCTCCATCCCATCTGCCCTTTGCAGTGCTCTGCAACTCCTGTTCCTATTACTTGAGCAAACTCTTCCATAATTCTACTTTACTTTTTCTTCTTAGTAACTTCCTGTTTGTTCTCCTGATAAATGCCAGAACTTCAGCTAAAAATGGAGAAGTAGCCTAGAATCTCTTATCTTCTAAACCCCCAGCCTTGGTGTGCTGCGGTTGGGTCCTGGCAGATCCCCTAACGGTCAGAGATGTTGGGCTGGGCTCTGCTGTGTCCTTCTGGCAGCACTTACTGCCCCACACACAGACACAGCAGCAACCAACACTGCTCCACCAGCTTTTGCCATAGGGTACATTAATTTATACCTCTCTCTGTCTTCTCAGACCACAGTCCAAGAAGTGTGGTAGGAAGAACAAGGCTACATTTTCTAATATGGGGTCCATCTGGGACTCTAGTTCCAGAGATGCTGACAAGGAATTTTGATTTTTAACAATGTTTGAAGAAATGAGTCACTCAAGTAAAGTGGGAAACTTGCCCTTTTTTGAGCAAGTGGTCTTCCCTCATCAATTTTATAGTACTGAAGATTAAAAATAGCTCTTCAGCTGGGGTACAGCTGCACAGTGTTGACTTAAATGGAACTGCAGTGACTCACAACAGGCAAGTATCTGTATATGGCCCTTTACTACTGCAAACCACTTAACACTAACAGCCAGTAAACATTGGAGCTACCACTGCTGTTCCACACTGGTGTGACAAACAATGGGACAAACAATTAGCTGTGTGTTAAAAATCTCCTTCTTGTCAGCACATGAACAATGTGTCCTCTCAATAGTACTGGTCTCGTATTTCATTAGACTTTCTCTGGGCCTTCTTCTATGTTGTTTTTCCTTTCATCATGATTTTTTGCACTGGCTGTGTTAAGTCCTTTGTTTTCAAGGCCATGAAACCATTCCTTTCTTCCACCTCCTCCAATAAATAAATAGCAAATAATAACAGTCAGTGATCAGATATACTTCCACATGAAAAGTATCAAGGAGACAGCTACTCAATGCTGACATTACAGAATTGGGATGGATGTACTCAGCATCAATATAAGGAACTGTGAAACCCATCAGATTTGAAGCATATTCCCCCAATTCATCTAATTTCCTACAGAGGCTGGTATTCACTGATCTGCTAACATCACCAGCAAAAAATCTTCAGTGCATTTTCCTCCTGAGGGGCTGAATGTCAAGCTATGACTGATACTTAATATTTTTGTTCTAGAGCAGGATGGACTTTACCTCCATCACCACCACTATTTAGTTTTTGTTAGCAGCTTCTTCCTCTCTGTCTCCTGCCCCATACCTAGCTTCTCCCCAGCTTTGGCTGTTCCCTGGCACCCCTCAGGCCCATGCAGACCTGGCTGATGAGAAAAGCTGAAGCCAAGTGGGGAAATGAAAGCAGCACAGCTTTTGGGTCACACTTAGAGGACAAAGAACTGCAACACACACCAGATACTCTCCTGGGAGACTCCTTGCACAACTGCCTCTATAGATAGGCTGACATGGTGGTTTCATGGTTCAAGTATCAGATAGAGAGAAAAGCATTGTCGATGCTGTTAAATCACTATTAGAGTATTTGCCTGCTGTAGCAAAGCTCCTGTGCTTTCTAATGAATTCTTTGTGTTTAGCACTAAATTCTCTGTTTTTTCAGAAAGTTAACAGATGGGTAATTAATCTCATGTTCGTTTCCTGCACATGCAAGATAGCAGCCTTTGTTAGGGAATGATAAGACACTTCTAAGAATAGTGCTACTAAGAGCATTGGCTTTGTAAGACATTACAGGAAAAATATCGACTCTTTACACTTGCTTTTCACTTTTAAAGTTTTGAAAATAATGTTCTGCTTACCTAGAGGCAAATTCTGACTTGCTTATGCATAGAAAACCTAATTGCTTACATCAGAAAACAAATATTAATGAAGGTATACTTTGGTCTTCAGGCTCTAGTCTTGGAAAGATTAATTTTTTAAATTTTATAAACACTGCAAATATTCCCAGTGGCTTCATCAGGACTACTGCAGTTCCCAGTCTCACAACCTGAACTCACTGTTTTGTCTGATCTTTTAACCACATATTCCACTGAAATTTAATGGATTTTCTTAGTGACATATGTAATAGATGAAGGATTAAGAATTTATCTGTGTGTAAAACACGGGACCCTCAGGTCAGACCTTACAAAGGCCGGATGCTAAACTCAGGAAAATGTAAACTGGAAGACAACCCCATGAGAGCAAATGGGGCTGGGCAGTGCACAAGAGGTCCAATGAGCAGCAGGCCAAGCTGGCACTTGAAGCTCCTTGGAAGCATCGGCTTAGACCGTAGCTTTTCCAGTTGAAAACAAAGGGTGGTGTTGAACTCCGGGATTTATGTATGTTGTCAGTTCAGAATCAGAGCCAACACTATTCTCCTGTAAGCGGTTGACACTTGACACCTACTGAAGTCAGTTAAACACTCATTGTTTTAAAGCTCTGTTGTTTTTAAGCATCACTGTGGTTCAGCCTGAGCTATCTGCTACCCCAGTGCAAGATGCACGAGCTGCCATGCTGGTGAAACTCTACGAAAAATAGGGGAAAATTAGTTTACAGCAGGTGAGAGACAATTTCCATTTGGTTTGTAGCAACCACTGTGTAACCAGTCATATGAGAAAAGACATTAAGCATTGCTGTACTTGCAGCAGATTTCTTTCTGCTTTATTAAGTACAAAGGACTACCTTATCCTCCTAACCAGAAAACAAAACTTAATCTGGAGAGATCTGGCTAATCTAGTGGTTGATATTTGGAGAATAACATAGACCAAATTTCCCCTGCTTTTGTAGCGCAAAATCTGAGCCGAGCAGTCTGCAAGCAGCCTTGTGAGCTGATCAGAGCCCCTGTTGTGACTATTATCTTGACTGTATAATGGGGGCTTTCAGATCCCAGCTTTATCACATTCTGTTTTCTCTACTTTGCCCTTTTATGAATATTGAGTCATCAAAAGTAGCTTCACTGACAGAGTTACTAATGATACCAGCTGGGTGAATCAGAGGCTCTTACACTGTGCCTGCCATACAGTGCCTATTAGTACACTCGTTACAAAATATAGCAAAAATGAGATGCCCGTAATTTATTTGCAGCTCCCGTGAGACACATCATAGTGGTTATTTTAGAACTGGAAAATGCTAACTGAATAAACCAAATATTCAGCCACTTCACTGCAATACTGTGGTCTACAGGAAGAAACTCTAGATTAGAATAAATTAAAAATAATTCCATCATCAGTAAATTATTTCTTCTGCTAGTTTTTAGCCAAAGAAAAAGTACACTACCAAATTATATCCACCATATTCTTCCACAAGACAGTTATGCCTCATATTATGAGGAAAAGCTAACATCAGCACTCCAGAGAAAATGCTGATAAACAGAAGTGAATATGACAAATGATGTAAGCTGTGTATATGGCTTGGAGCGCTAGAAACACGGCCAGTGGCAACCTTCGAGTATGGTGCAGAGCTCTAGGGGAAGTCAGGTTAGAAGGCCATGACTCAAACGGCCAATACCAATTCCAAAAGTGTCACAGCAGAACACAACAACATGCCTGATGAGCCATCACAAATGAGTATGCAAAATGGCCCACGAGGAGCTTACGTTTTTAATGCTGTCCCAAGCAAATGCTTACGGGTTATTTATTCCTGCACGGAGTGCTTTCCTTGCACCCCTGCAATGATACAGTTTCCTATGTTTGCAACACACATCCTTTTTTTTTTTTTTCCCGCTTAATTCAGACAAACAGGCAAGCCGATAGAGAGTGAAACAAGGGGCCCACAGTGCAGTTGCAGATCTCCATGCAGGGCTCACTTCTTCTCCCCAGCCCCCTTCACCTTTCAGCTATCAGGAACTTTACAGCATAGCATCTTCTACCACCTCTTTATCACAGACCAAAAAGCTTTCTGAAGCTTTCTGCTAACAACTGCATCTGGCATTGGTAAATAAAACTATTTTATATGTTGCCTGTAGCAATTGTCATAGAAATTACAGAGCATCTTAACAAAGCCAAGCCTCAGAATTTAAATTTTTAGAATTTTGTCTATTTGGGTTCCCCCCCCCCTCCCCTTTCTTTTTAGGATGGTCTTGTCCGTCCCTGGAAAAGTGACATCTGCAATTCTATTACAACAATTCTGTTAGCTACGGCAACGTTAACCGAAACCGAAATGTGGTTTTTAACCTAAAATGTGTTGCATAACAGCTGAAGTACTATAATCTTACAAGCCGAGAAAGGTTAATTCCAGAGGACACAAGAATGTCGTTGGAAACTAAAATACTCCATAAGCGCATGGACTTGGAAGTCTTTTTGTTTTGGTCCAAGGCGAAGCCGAAGCGGGCGAGAGATCTCAAAGGAAGAGTAAGACAGCGAGCGCACGCCAAAATACCTTTACCGAGAAAAAGATATCAGCAAAGCGTCTGCACTTACGTATCTCTTGAGTTTCTTCTCGGGGGGTGATTTGATAAGCCATCCGGTGCAAACCACGTCCCCCGAGCTCATCTTCCCCCCGGGCGCGGGGTGGCGGAGCGGGAGCCAGGGTGCGGGCTGCCTGTGCGTGTGTGCTTGTTACGTGCGGCTGTGTGCGGCTGTGTGTCCGTCCGTGCGGGTGTGTGTGCGGCTGTGTGTCCGTCCGTGCGGGTGTGTGTCCGTCCGTGCGGCTGTGTGTCCGTCCGTGCGGCTGTGTGTGCGGCTGTGTGTCCGTCCGTGCGGCTGTGTGTCCGTCCGTGCGGGTGTGTGTCCGTCCGTGCGGCTGTGTGCGCTGCT